CAGAGAATGACTTTCAGGAATCAGTTCACTGCTTCCACCAGGGCTTCCAGGGACTGAACTTGGGTCTTCAGGCTTGTGTGGCAGGTGGTCTTGTCCCTTAGGCCATCTTAGCCCTGGGCCATTTCCCTGGCCCCAATAATACACAGATCAGGCACATACCTGTGCTTGTCAAGCAGGGAATTGAGGGGTTTTCATCCCTGAGTGGCCTCCCATACCACATCCAGCAAATGCTACATTACCCTTGATGTACACAAAGCCATGAAGAGTAGACTTCCTGGAAAGCTGACAAAAATGGGGAGGAAAACAAATACCAGAATATAGAAATGCCCTGGATTAAGACACGGCTTATGTCAGAGACCGCAGGAAGCCTGGCTGCATCAAAGCTTCTACATGTGGGAAACAAGAAAGAACTTACTTTAGAGCAGGCATCACTAAGCTACTGAATCAAGATTTTCAACTCTGAGGAAAACACTTGGCATAAACATAGAGAAGCAGAATACTATAAGGTCTAAAAGCTACTAGGTCTACTTTACAGCAGACATGATGGTATGGCCACCATTTAACTAACCAAACAGCAACAAAGTTCTGAAGACACAGCTAACTTCAAATATCAAGAGCAGAAAAGGACAGTGTAAGCTAGATGGGCTGCCAAAAAGGAATTCATAGACTGAGGCCAATAACTTACAAAATATGACCTTCTGCCTTTAGTTTGTCAGGCGTTTAGCTTATTTTACCCAATTGATGAACCAGAGGGTGGAAAGTGCTTTGTTGCTGTTGTTTTGGGTTTTTTGAGACAGGGTCTCCCAGTAGCCCCAGCTAGCCTACATCTCAAAGACATCTGCCTGCCTCTGCCCTATGTGTTGGTGTGTGCCAGAATGCCCAGCCAAGGTGGGATTTTCTTTTTTTTTTTTAATATTTTAGAAAATATTTATTTTTATTTTATATGTATGCGTGCATTGCCTGCATGTAGTTAAGTACACCCGTGTCGTGCAATGCCTGAGGAGGATAGAGGAGGCTGTTGGATCCCCTGGAACTGGAGTTACGGACAGTTATTAGCTGCCATGTGGCTGCTGGAATTCGAACCCAGGTCTTCTGCAAGAACATACAGTGTTCTTAACCACTGAGTCATCTTTCCAGCCCCCAAGGTGGGATTTCAATTATTTTTTTTTAGTAGGGAAAATATCCAAGGCTGGAAAAGTCAAGTAAATTACTTATATTTGAGGGGGAAAAAAATACCTCAAAGAACCCCAGTTTCTCACAGTCCTCAAAAGCTAAAGCTCATGACTCACTCCAGAGCCATGAAGAACAAAAATATCATTGATGGGATAAATTTTTTTCTGTGTAGTTTCTAGGTGGTTGTGTTTCTTTCCCTGTGGCCAGTGACAAATATCATGTGCCTGCCCTAGAAGTATCTATGGCAGGGGACTGCCCGCCTTTCAAATGAGTACCAAGTGCATTCAGAGGGAAGCAATCACCACTCCAATGCTAGGGATCCCAGGCTCCCCAAAGGCTAAAGGCCCTGGGATCTCTGTGCTCATGCACTTCTTTTAGGTGCACAATTTTTGTTCCTACCAAAACAGAGAAAGACAAAAAAAAAAAAAAAAAAAAAAAAAAAAAAAAAAAAAAAAAAAAACCACTCAGACTGTGTTGACACTCCACAAGCTGACAGGTGGGATCACGCAGCACTGCACCTTCCATTATGTCCTCTGATAGTTGCAGACTGCTTTCTGAGGGTAAATGGCTGATTCATTCTGCAGGTGCACTGTTAGAGAAAAATTTCTGGGCATTTTTCTGGCTATCACAGGAGTAAAAAGTACCTTGGTGGAGAAATAAATTTCCTGCTGTCCCAAAGACTCTCTTTAGTGATCTAATCCCAGAAAAGCATCTTAGTGACTGACAATTTTATTCTCAAATGTGGAATAGATTGGCTCTTTAAATAAAGGAATATAACTTTCTAGGTTTATTTTTTTGTCAGGGTCTCACTATTCAGCCCCAGCTGGCTTTAAACTCACAATGTAGACCAGGCTGACCTTGCACTCACAATGATCTTCCTGCCTTTGCTCTGGAGTGCTGAGATAAAAGGTGTGTGCCACCATGCCCAGCCTGAATATAACTTTATTTTTTACCAAAGCATCAGGCTTCAAAGGGGACTATGTTGATAATTAGCTTGGAATCATTAAGTTTGGTATTCTGTATCTGGCTTTCATAGTTAAAAACTGAAATTGCAGTGCAACCTATGTGGTTATGGACCCTGAGAAGCCCCACGAGCAGCTGTCAGCAGGCAGGAGATTAGAAAGGGCTGATGAGTTGTGGCATCTGATTGAAGGTAAAAACCCTATGCAAGCTTGAACACAGGCAAGAAAAATTCTCTCGTACTTGAAGGAAGAAGCCTATTTGTTCTGTGCAGATCCTCCAGCAAATGGGAAAAGGCCTATCCAAGGAAGAGAGGGAGCTCTATTTTGCTCAAGGTATTAGCTGAAATGCTAAACTCATTCAGAAAAAGCTTTGACCAAATAGCCTGCATTTCAGTCAAACTGACATAAAATTAAGCATTATAATATTGGCCCATGACACTAAGTCTGTGGGTTTAGAAGACCCTTCACTCTGGTGCCAGAAAACCTGACTATGGCAAACTGTACTATGTTTTCTTACAAAGCTGCTCTTCTGTGCTGGTTCATGTGAATTGCTTTGTTAAGCACTCTGTTAGCAAGGCAGTGACACGAAGCTCCAGGTTGACTCCAAAATACCCTCTACTATGGTTCACAAGCAAGTCTGGGATTTCCAATTTGTTCAAATTTAATTGATTTTAAAATCTTTCAGTGGAGGTTGGAGAGATGGCTCAGTGGGTAAGAGCACTGGCTGCTCGTGCAGAGGACTCAAGTCCGATCCCCAGCACCCATATAGCAGCTGACAACTATTCATAACTCTAGTTCCAGAGGATCCAATGCCCTCTTCTGGCCTCTGCAAACAAAACACTCATACACATTTTTTAAAAAATCAAATATAATTACATTTGTTTCTATTCTTGTCATTCTTAAAAAATATTTTCAACCACATTTTAAACGTGTGTGTGTGTGTGTGTGTGTGTGTGTGTGTGTGTGTTTTGCACATGCACCATGATGTAAATGTAGAAGTCAGAAGACAACTTGAGGGAGTCTGGTTCACTCCTTCCACCATGTGGGTCCCAGGTATGGAACTCAGTTGTCAGGTTTGGTATCAAGTGCCTTCGCGGGCAGAGCCATCTCTCAGACTTCCATTCTTTTCATCCTTAACAAACAGACATATTAGCACAACAAAGCTGACTGAGTCAGTATTTCTTCATCCCCAGAAAGACCAAAATTCTGGACATATTCAGGAGCAATCTCATAAGGTTTTGACATATGTAGGACTATGGCTTGGGTCCCCGCGCTAACGCACTCTGTGAGAATGGGTAACAGCAGCACTGTCAGACAGGTTGAGCCCTGCTCTCTGACCTGCAAACTGATCTCTGTGGAAAGACCTGTCTGTGAAACACTCTGCTAAAAAAGTGATTCCCGAAACACAGCCCTAAGTCCTGACATACTCACCAGCTCCTCTGAATGAGGCCCAGGTGTATACTTACAAAGACTTACAGACAGAGCCCTGGTCTGGCCACAGTTAACCAAGTGCCTAGGCCCTTTTCCTGTGTGATTTTTATTACTTCCACATGAAACAGGCACCGACTCAAATACATGACCAAGTTAGATTATAAACAGGGAATAGTGATTCATGCCTGTAATAACAGTACTTGGGGGGCTGAGGCAAGAGGATCAGTGCCAGTTAGACACCAGCCTGGGCCACACAGTGAGCTGTAGCCCAGCCAGAGCATGGCAAAGCCCTGCCTTTCAATGTCACTTTTAAATCTCAAAGTTAGATTAATAAATGAAATAGTTTAAATCAGCATAAAGTGAGAAGCCAAGAAGGAATTCAAATTACCCAACACTGTATCAGAGAAGAGGTAAATTTTCATCTTCTACAGCTTGAACATACTTCTAAAACACAGATGCCTTGGGTGTGATAGGGTTAGACCCTGAGACTTTCAGAGGTGATTAGGTCCAGAAGGGATGTAGGCTGGTTAACAGGAATGGTGCCCTGTGAAAGAGCTTCACAGAAGATAGCAAGCCTGACCCTCTGGCATGTGCCATGTTTGACTTCAGTGAGAAGACCCTCAACTTGATCGTGAACTGCCACCATCCCAGAAATCAAAGAAGCAAATTGCTAATCTTTACAAATTACTTAACTGTTACATGATATATATTTTCCTGTAGCAGTACAAAAAAGTTAAGACTACATCTTGCATTACTCAGCCACACAAAATTTCTCATTTAGAATTTGAAAAAAAAAAATCATCTAAGTTCATCTGCATACTGCTGGGGATGGGAAAGTCAAGAGGATTAGCTCCTAGCTATGTGGCAGTTGCCAGGAGGTATTCCTTCTTGGGATACAGCCTGTTCTCAGGGGAGGTGAAACACTCCTTCCTGCAGAGAAGCTCATTAAGCTCAGGAAGTAAAAAACTCAGTAGGTTCAGAAAATCCCTGAAACTGTTCAATATCCATTCTCTCCCCTCAAATGAGCACTAAGGACTGCTGAAACAGTCTCAGACCAGGAGCTTCTGGGAAGCGGCTCACACCACCTGAGCCACCTGGAAGAGGCACTCTAACCTGCCAAGCTGTCTGTAGGCTGTGCAGTGTGCTCCAGGTTCTGTGCTTTCATGATGCCTCATCCACATGGGTGGGTTTTTGATGATGCAGCTATCCTTGAGTAATTTCTGCACTGGGAAGTAACTCCTCACCCATAGTCCTGTAAGTAACTTGTGGGTTCACCAAGCTGGACCTTGGTGATACCCTTACTTTGCTCTACTGCTTAGTTCCCTATTTGGAAGGAACATCTGTTCATACCTCCCTAGGAACACAGGCACACAGCACTATGCAATTACTTACAAGCACTGCAAAGGAATCAGGAGCTCAAGGAAGTCTGCTTACCACAATATCCTCAGGAAACGTGTCTCTGCTGAAGGAGCCGTCATCAAACATCACCTCATAGAAGATCTGTGATGTCACAGCTATCACTCTGCAGCTGTAATACCGTGTGTTCCGGTGTTTTGTGATGACAGTCTGACCCACAGAGATGGCTTTCTCACTAGTTTTGGACTTCTGTGAGACAAAAGGAAGAGACAATGGAAAAGAACAAAAACCAAATAACAGTAACTAATTTGGCCGTAATTTCTTAAATTTTAAGAATTTACAATGAGAGTAATTTTGACCTAAGGATCAATTGCCAGGATTCAAATAGTACAGAAAACAATCTAACCCACTGCAGGTATATCCATTGTTGCATACTGCTATTAACATCTTAGGAATAGCTTTACTTATCTGTACATCTATGTGTGCGAAGTAAAGAGAAGGATAAAGATTATGTTCCATGTGTGTCTAATTCCTACCCTCTTCTGGTGAGGCTTTGGAAATACTCATCCACTGAACCCCAACCTCAAGCCCAGTAACTTTTTGTGGGGGAGAGGGGGGAATGGTCTCTCTGACGTCCCAGTTTTCCTGGAACTCATTATGTAGACCAGGCTGGCCTCCATCTCACAGAAATCTGCCTACTTCTGCCTCCCAAATGCCGAGATTAAAGGCGTGTGCCACCTATAGTGTGGTGTTTCTCATCTGAAAACTTTGATGCATATTTTCTAAGAATGGGATATTCTTTTATGTAACCAGAGTTCCAAGACAGCAATCAACTTCAAGAAATTGAACACTGACATGATTCTTTAATCTCTCACCTGTGCTCAACTTGGTCAGCTGATGACCTTGGTGGTTTTCCTCCCATCTGAGTCCACAGTTCACCTGTGTTCAACCACCACGTCTCTTTAGGGACATTTACTCTCCATCATTTCTATAGGCATTTTTTCGGTTTTTATGCTGGCTATACTTTGGAAAGATGTAATTCCTCCTGCCCTTTGACAGATAGACCATTTGTGTGATGCTTCCCCACAATGATAAATTCTTGGCCAGAATCCCAAGTAGTTCTTTCTCAGGTTATTTAATGACATTTGCAGGCCTCTTGATATCCATTTTGATTTGGATCAAGATGTGATGCAGTTTCTCTTGTTACTATTTTCTCCCATACTAATGAGCACTCCACAGGCCATTTTCTTACTATGCAAACCTGCTCCTCATACTACGTTGTTTAGATTTAGCACCCACTGGTGAGTTCCACTCTGCTATGACATGTGCTAGTCCTGTTCCAGTGGGCCGTCTACATTTACTAGATGCTGCGAGGCATCTCCCAGATACTCCTACATCTATCTACCTATCTACTCAACACCAGTCAGAGCGGATTGATTCCTTTCCCTAATTGTATGTGATTGCCACTTTATTTTATTATTTGGGGCACAAATTCTCCACATTTGGCCAACATAAAAACCTTTTAATGTTGATTCTTTTGTCATCCCAACTTTAAAGAAATTTCCTACTGTATTTATGACCTAGGAAGTTCTAGATCTTCTTACACCTGCTCTGCAATTAGCCATTACAGTAGGGCTAATTTAAAAGGGCAGTGATAGTTCTGGTTCTGCGTGACCATAAGGAAAGAAAAGGCCTCAGGAGCTTAGTATCCAAGTTTGCATGACAGAGGAGGGCCTGGAGTAAAGAACTGAGGATAAAGATATAAATGATTTAAACAGAGGACAAGCCCCTCCCAACACAGATTCCTAGGGCATCCTAAATATAGGGCAAACTCTACAATCTAATTTCCCACATAACTAACACAATAAAAGGGCACTTTCCTCACTAAAATCATTCCCTAGTGATTGCTGAAATGGTTGGGAAGTTTGCCTATACCTTTAGGTGGAGGTAAATGAATGAACACTTTGATAAAGCCCAGAAGCAGTCCATACTGCCAGGTAATATGCATGAAGTAGAATCCCTTAATTTAATAGCAAGGTGATAGGACATTAAGTATATTATATATGCTGTGTTATAATAATTATAGTTTCCCCCTTCATTCCCGTCTGTCCCTTTTAACCATATATAACCTTTTGAAGTAAAAATTACCTATATATAATAATTTTGGAAGCACAATACTCTTCAGAGTCATAACTTCCCACAACTGTAAATTAAGGTTTTATAAATTGTAACTAACTCTAGGAGTAACGGTCACATCCTGGGTGGTCACACAGAGTGGCCTAGAGTGACATTAGAGCTAATCAGGGTTTTGTTCTGGTGAAGTATTTTTGCATGGGTGGTTGTTCGGTCCAACTCACAGAATTAAAATGATTGTCACACTATAATATTAGTTCTGTGAATATCAGATTTGAAATCCACCTTCAAAGAAGATCCTACAGTGTTCATTTGAATGCTAAGCTGTGATTCTCACTAGAGTACGATGTTGGGGATGGTACTTAACCATTGTCACTAGAGTTACTCATCCATTGATACATCAAGTTTGCTTAAAATAGGACGATGTACATAAGACATCTAGGCTTGTCAGCAGTAAGTTCTCAGTAGATGTCATTTCAAGGAATGAATAACACAACTAAGAACTTAGCCTCATGTTAACAGACCACTCGTCCTACAGTGCCTCAGTAATTTGGCAGCATCTTAATTTCCTAGCAACAAACTCAATCCAGCTCCAAGTTATTACTGGTCCCACTCCTCACCTCATCCACTACAGGAGCCTCAGGCTTGTCAAACTTGTGTGCATGGCTGTGTTCCAAGGGAAGGCAGGCATAGTATGGTTTCTTTCCCCATCCCTAGGGCTCCCAAGTTTCTGTCTGCAACCTTCCCAAGGCCTTTTCCTATAGGACCTTTCATTTACGTCCTTCTTACAACAGGACAAAAAGTACAAATGAGAACCAGAGCTTGTCTTTTGATCAGCAGTACCGAGTGTGGTGTCTGACGCTGTTGCTCGCAGGTGAGGAATGAGTGACAGGATGAGGGGATAGGAGACTGATGGAATGAATGAGTAACAGTGCTCTGGAATTCAGACACACTTCAAAATGGGCATGGAGTGGTTCCATTAGCTCAGTGTCCACAAACGGCAAAGCAATCAAGGAAGCGTTTTAGGAAGGCCTTCTCCTCTTTTGGAGAAGAAGCTAGGATTAGACAGAGGTAAGGGATAGGGAATGAAAAACAGGTCTGCAGGTCTGGCTGAGTCTAGTCAAGGTAAGAGGTAGGATAAGACTTTTATAAAAAAAAAAAAAGTTAACTTTGGGTGGGTGGTAATCAGTTTCTTTTTGCTTAGGACATGAAATTTATGCAGATTATCTGGTTAACACAAGTTAAACTACAACCTTCATCTAAATAACAATTTTTTTTTGGGGGGGAGGGTCTTTTTGAGACAGGGTCTCCCTGTAGCCCCAGCTGGTCTGGAACTCACTATGTAGACTAGGCTGGCCTCAACTCACAGAGATCTGCCTGTCTCTGCCTCCCAAGTGCTGGGACTAAAGGCATGCACCACCATGCCCGGCCTAAATAACAATCCTTATAAGCATGACAATTTCATGGAACCTTAGTAAGGAAAATAGATTCTTTCATAATACTATTTTGATAGGTTTTCTGATTTTCTTTCCAGGAAAAAAAATAGATAAATACATCTCATAGTTGAATATGTATGACTTCAAAAGAATATGGGTCAGGAAAGCCTAGACATGATTAACATTAGGAATATCATTTCTAAAACTGGGTGTGGTGGCGCACACCTTTGATCCCTTGGGAGGAGGAGACAGGCGGATTTCTGTGAGTTTGAGGCCAGCCTCATCTACATAGCAAGTTCCAGGCCAGCTGTGGCTACAGGGAGACCCTGTCTCAAAAACAAAAATGATCTTCTATGATCATTTCTGATCATAGAAGATGCTACTCAATAGGCTTTATCACATTAAGAATGATGATATTTTGAAAATTAGTGGGAATATGTAGGTTGTAAAAGTTAAATATTTTCTTTAACAAGAACTAAGCAAAAATGTACAGTGGTTTGAAAACAAAAACAAAAATCAAAAATATGCTCCTTCATTTAAAGAAATGTTAGAATCAGAGATGCTGAGAATGCTAAGAACATGCCATTGAAAATTTTGCAAAAACATAATCCCTGAGAAATAATATGGTGGGAGTTTCTGTCATATGTCCATTATACATGAGTCAATTAAATTCCCCCAGAAAGGTTCTAAGGCAGCTGTTCTCTTGAACAGAAGACACATATATCACATACAGTCAAGCAACTTTTCCCAAATCACAGAGCCAATGACAGGCAGAATGGAGTGGTGTTCTCCCCCAACACAAATGCTCAAGCAGCTGCCAAACATGTTAGATTTCCTTTGTCTCTTTTGCAACTTCCATGGACTTAACAAGTCCTCTGTTCTAGATCCCTGCCAAAACTCTTCCCACATAAGAATTTACTGAATTCTTCCAATATACCCAAAAGGTTGGATTAGCAACTTAGATCTGATAAAAATGCAGAATGGGTATATGCTCCCAGTTTTCACATATGTGTACCCAAGTGTGTGTACGAGCACACACTGGTAATCATAAAAATGCTCATGGATCTCCACTCCCCTGCTTGCACATCTTTTTGGAGGTGACTTGGAAGACCTTCCCAGAAAGAGCTGGAATCCATTTCCCACACTCTGGGTCTGAGTCAGACTGTGACTTATCTTGCTTTGGTCAAAAGAATACATTGGCAGTAATGATACTCAGTTCAAGGCCTTGTCCTCAGGAGGACATGCACACTGCTGCTTTCTCTCCAAGGGCTAGACTCTGCCACAGGAACAAATCCACGATTTGATTCTGGCACATCAGATGTCTTGAGTATAGCTAGGAATTAGGCCTGAGAAAAACCAACTGACCACAGGTGTGTGAGGCGCCCAGCCTGAAAGAGAAGAACCATACAACTGAGCTGAAACGGACAGCCTGCGGAACCGTGAGCTAACGGGTTCATTTGCTTCACTGTGTACTTCTCTATTCTCCATTAAGAAAGCAGTATGAAAAATAGGACAGTCCTTGCAACTCTCCAGTTCTTTAAATAAATAATTCATGTATACTCAGAACTTATGTTCTAAAATAGCTGACCCCAAATTACTTAGTAAGAAAAGGCCATTTTTAACATTTACCCTTTTGCTCAGTAAATATACTATAGGAAGGACGTGAAGGAGTGAAGACAT